AGCGCTCATCTGGGGCCCCAGGCCCTGGCAGAGCAACGGCGTCAGCAAATGAGCCTGAGCTAAGAGGACATGTGTGAGTTTGTATGTGTGTGACTCTGTGAGGATGGGCTTTCTGCCTTCAGCTGCCTCTGTGTCCGGGATGACAGGCTTCCTCAGCCAGAGTCCGGAGACCGGCAGGGCCCTGAGGTAGGAAGGCGAGGTCAGTGGAGGAGTGAGGGCCCACGTGTGTGAGCGTATGCTCCTGTCAGGGCGCTCCATCTCAGGCGGGAGTTTGTGGGCATCTAGGTGAGAGGTCACACACCAAGCGGATGTCCCAAGGATGTGGACCTGTTTATGAAAGTGCTGTGAAGTCAAAGGGACTTTCTGAGGAGGCGCTCTGGGTGGAAGGGCAGCCTCTGAAGTGAGGGCACCCCCTGGGTGGTAAGTGCACGCAGGTGTGAGGACATGTCCAAGACTTTGAAGAATGAGGTCTCATGTGCAAGTGGCATGTCCAGGTGTGAAGCCACGCTCCGCTGTAAGTAGAGGGGCAGCCCTTGCTGCCTCAGTCTGGGCATGCTCTCCCACCACTGGGGGCTCGATCGGGCCACCCCTTTCTCAGTCTGCTCCTCTCCTCCTGACCTGAATCCAAATCAGGACTGGCCCCACAGTGGCCCGTGGAGGTGCGAGTGCAGTGACCCTGATCCAGCACATTACTCTGCCACCCTCCAACACACGCTCATTCACAGGGGCTGCACCACACACCCGGCGCACCAGGGGAAAGGCTGTGGGGTCTCGGACCTGTTGGACTGTGGACCGGAGGAAAGAGGATCGAGGCACCTGCTGTAGGGGTGGGCAGCTTTTCTCTGGTTGGGCTGGTCTCTGGGATATGTCCTTTCCCCTTCCTAAGAAAATGAGGTTCCTTACATCCTAGCAGGAAAGCTCGGGGTTCCTGAGTCTGAACCTTCCTCTGGACCCTTGGCTCCTGCAGGTTCACTCAAACCGGAGTGAGGGGATGTCATAGGGCCTTGGCTTCAAGAGTGAAGAGGGGTGTCTGGGCCACCAGCCCCAGAAAGCTAGGCGGATTCTATAGTTCATTTCGTTTGAGGTTTAAAACAATTTCTGTAAAATTTACTCCAAGGTAACTCTGGAAGGAGGCGTCTGGCTGCCCCCTTGCAGGATCTGGCTGCAGTCCTCTCCACCCCCGCCCCTAGCCCCCTCTTCCAACCCCAGCATGCACTTAATGCAGAGATTTCCTGGACCTCATAACCTCAAGGTGTTAGAAGGTGGGGTCTGGGTCCTACCCTCCTGAAGAACATATTATCCCAGGCTCACTCCCTTACTCTCATTCCATGCAGGAGACCCTACAGGACTTGACCCCTTTCGCTCCCAAACACATTCTCAGGCTCCAGCCAGTGGAATTTGCCGGGAGCAAATAACCTGGTTTCCATTGCTGTTACAGACTCTGTTCGGGTCAGAGTGCGCCCTCTCGAATCTGGTCAACTTCTGGAAGCTCCCCACACTCTTAACGCACACCACACTCTCCCTCTCCTGTCTCCCTCAGTCTGGTCCTCGGGTTCCGCTTCCCAGAGGAACCCGCACCAGGTTCTGGGGTGCTCTCTGGGGACCGGCTCCTAGAGCCTTCCTCTGGGATCTCCAGCCTCAGGTATCGGAGGTGGCTGGGCTGGCAGGGAGCGGTGATGAAGCAGTCGTGCCTGGCGGAAGAGGCTGCATCCTCAGGCTCTTGGGCCGCATCTGCATGCCCTGAATGATCAAGCCTCAGATGGCTCGGGCCAGAACCTCGGGGCCCTGGAAGTTCGAGAGAACAACGCGGAAAAGCATGGTCTGGATTCGAGGGAGAACATGGGAAAACGCATTTTTCTTGTTAAGCGAATTTTCTTTACTCTGAACGAGAGAAAAGTAGATAATAAAAACGAGAGTGGGAGACTGTTAGAACGAGGAAAAGAGAAAGAAAATGCTCAGAGAACCAGAGATAGAGAAGCCCCAGGCGATCTCGCCCGAGGACCGCGGCATTAATTCCAGACGTTGCCATTCAAAAGGGAAACAAAATCTGAAACCTGTTACCTTCTCTGTAGACCAAGCTGTGTCAGGGCCGTGACGTCAGGACGGCAAAGTGAGGCGAAAGTTGAAACGGCCCCTGAGGGCTGCGGCGACCTTGTCTCCGACCCGAAGGACGGGCAGATGGATGTGCGCGTTCTGCTTTCACGAGGATCTGGGGAGATAGGGAAGCCACTTTTTACTTTCGTTTAAAAAAAGTAAACTAATTGTTAATTTAAAACAACAACGACAAAAATAATCCCACCACCATGTAAAAGAAATCGAAATATCGCAGAAGCGAGCTAAAGAAAGAGCAAAAGTGGGCAGAGGGACGGGGTTAGCGAGGGGCGGAGAGGGGAAAGACGCACAGCGCGCACGGGACGCGGCCGGCACGGACAGGAAGGGCAGTCTCATTTCTTTTCTCCACGCTCCACTTTAAAAATAAAAATCGATATTAACCAGACTTACCCTCCGTGATCCCTTACGATACCAGGACTTTTTAAATAATTTGCGTTTTAGAGGCAGCAGGAGAAAAACCAAAACAAGCCCCTGACTACCCCAAATGCGTAGGATTTGAGAGCACGCCCAACAGAGCCGGAAGGAAGCTGGAAAATCTTCTTGGCATTGCCATAGACACCCTCCCTTCTCTACCCCCATTTCACCCCCACCCAGACCACGGTAATTGAATTGTCACCTGCCCCCATCTCGCCCCGGGCCGCCAGGGACACTTAGGAAAGTCGGCCTTGCCAAGCGCCCCCAGCCAGTGAGAGCGACGCAGCAGAGCCCGCGCCCCAGAAGCCGAGGGGTTACACAGGTCTACGTAGAGACGCCACCGGACACGGTAATTAGGCGCAATTCACACGCTCTCCGGCGCACGGAAACTACTTGTCACGATATTTTTAACGCTCCTTCTTGCCCACTTTTTCCCACTTCTTTCCTGGTGCGCCCCCTCCCCTCCCGGAGGCACTGAGTGGAGCCTTTGGAGTTTCGAATCTTTCGGACACTGTAGAATGCGGGGCTCCCCGGGCGCGGGTCCGGCCAATCAGAGTGCCGTCTGCCTCCCCTGGCCAATGGCAGACGCCACATTGTTGTCCAATTCTGTCTAATGGAGCCCTAAGGAGCAACAATAGAGCAGGCGAGCGGCTCATTGAGAGTCTGGCAGCTCCGGGCAACTGGGGCCCAGCTGTGCGCAGCGTCCAGCGCGCTCCGCGAGGGGATGCGGCGCGGCTAGGGCCGGATCGCATGTTCCAGCCAGTCGGTCCCTAAACGGTTCCCTGGCTCAGATTTCCGACGGAAGGGTTGGACTACGCAGCCTTCTGAAGGGGTCCGGCAGTTCGGACATGGTGACTGAAGGAGGGTGACGTGGTCAGTTAAGGGGCCAGGGGGTCAAAGAGAAGAGGCTAAGAGCGCCAGCATCGCCAGTGGAGCTGGGAGGCGCGTGCAGCGCCAGCCGGAGGAGGATCCCAGAGCCCAAGGCAGGTAGTTGAGGGCCGCAGGGAGGGCAGGGGAGGCGGCCCGGCCTGCGGCCCCTGTTGACGAAGCTCGGGCCACGCTGGCTTTAGGGACTGTGCGGCCCGAGGGGCCTGAAGGAGGAGGCGGCGCGCGTAGAGAGGGGAGGGGTCTAGGATTGTCGGGCGGTGACACCGAGGGACCCAGAGGAAGCCGTGGAGGAAGCTCGCAGCTGGGCCTGCTTGGGCCTTCTGGGGCCGCGGCGCAGGTGGGATTCCTGCGTTCGCTCAGAACCAGTTCCAGAGGCCTTTCCCCTGCCTCGGGGCTGCCTGCTAAGCCATCCAAGTCGCAGAAACCCAACTCTGAGACTGAAAGCAGGAATCTGTGCCCGAGAGGGATCCCGCGAGGCCCCAGGAAGGGGAGGGCGTGTCTGACGACTAGGTGCCTAAAATGGGATGGGAGAAGGCAGTGAGAGGTGGTCAGAATTTCCCTCCTGCAATACCTACCTTTTGCAAGATACTTTTTCCTCCCTGACTACTCCGCCTGACTGCAGTTGTGCCACAGGTTATACTCCGTCCCCACCCCAGCCTACGCCTGCGGGGTTTTTTTTCCCCGTCAAGCACACCCCTCTCCTCCGCCTGAACCCTGGGACCCAGATACCCAAGTCGGCTGTTTTCCGCGATCCTCAAGCTAGCTAATCTTTGGGCTGGGTTCGCCTATTCAAAGTTTCTTCGGCTGAATTTTCTCTTTCATCCTCTTTCCCAGGCCTTCTAAACTCAGCTCCATACAAACTCTCTCTCCCACTTTCTGGAGGTCTGCACCACGGAACTTGAGGCTCCCCCATTTCCACGGGTCCCTGGGCCCCAGGGCCTAACTCTGTCCCTGAGTTGTTTCCTAACCCTCACTCCACTTTCTAGAACTATTCTTTCTGTTCTAGATTTTTCTCTTGAACTCCCCTGCTCCCACCAGCAAAACAAACAAACAAAACCGCCCAGCCCAACCAGCTGAACTCTCCTCTTCACCCTTCCACAAAACTGGACATCTCACCCCGGATGTTCCTGTTTTGTCTTGGCATCAATCTGTTGAGTCAGAATTTTCCCTAATACAAGTCTTATCAAACAGACATTTCTCTCTACCCGGTCTCACACTAATGAAGGTAAATTTTGGGGGGTACTATTTTCTTTTTCAAATTCTCGTTACAGCCATCTGAACCAGTGACTTTCAAACGTTATGTTTTTCCCCCCAGCAGAATCACTCATTCAAACGAAATCTTACACCCAGCGTATAAATCAGATATAAGAGCTCTGGTGGGAGTGGGGTGGGGGAGCTCGGCCTTAGGAGGCGGGCTCCAGAGACACCTCCTCCCAGCAATTTGACAACCAGTAGTCAAACTTATGCGGCCGAAATTTCCCTTTCTAAGCCTGGGTTCCTCGAGTGCGAGCTTAGCTTCGCGCACCGCACACTCCTCACCGCAAGTCTCTCCCCCCTTCCCACGGTGTTCCACGCCAGGTGCTGACATGGAGCTGCGCTCCGAGTTGCCGAGCGTGCCAGGCGCTGCTACGGCGGCGACGACAGCGACTGGGCCACCCGTGGCATCTGTGGCGTCGGTGGCAGCGGCAGCGGCGGCGGCCGCTTCGCTACCGGTGAGCGTGGCGGGCGGCTTGCTACGGGCGCCGCCGCTGTTGTTGCGCGCGGCGGAGAAGTATCCGCGGACCCCCAAGTGCGCGCGCTGCCGCAACCACGGCGTGGTGTCGGCGCTCAAGGGCCACAAGCGCTACTGTCGCTGGAAGGACTGTCTGTGCGCCAAGTGCACGCTCATCGCCGAGCGCCAGCGCGTCATGGCGGCACAGGTGGCGCTGCGCAGGCAACAGGCGCAGGAAGAGAACGAGGCGCGTGAGCTACAGCTGCTGTACGGCACAGCGGAGGGCTTGGCGCTGGCCGCCGCTAATGGCATCATCCCGCCGCGACCTGCCTACGAGGTCTTCGGCTCCGTATGCGCCGCCGACGGCGGGGGGACGGGAGCAGGAGCACCTGCGGGGGCCGGAATCGGGACAGCGGGCGCCGGGAGTTCAGGTGAGAGTGCGGCCGGGCCCGGGGGGGGGGGTGAGGGGAGCAGGACAGGGCCAAGGGGCGCGCGGTCTATGGACTTGACTCGGTACTCAAAGAGTAGAATCCGCTTCTCCAAACGTCAGATCGCTAGGGTTTACCGCGCGCCCAGACCCTGATCTGGAAGATAAACACAGAAACTCTCTCTCCTCCTCTTTCTGAAGAAGTCTTTGCACTTTACTCCTTTCTTTCACCGCGGGTCCAATTGTGAATGCTTTAGTCTTATCTCCTCTACACAGACAGGTCCCAGATTTCCTGTTCATTTCGCTGGGTCTTCCCCCCAGCGCAGAAACCCGCGCGTCTTCTCTTTTCCTTCCTTCTGTGCTGCTCCATGTGCCACAGTTTCCCCCGCTACTTTCCAACTCTCTTCAGGTATCCGACCCTCTCCGAGCCACCTGCCCCGAGCCACCCGCCCTGTCCCGCACCTCTTTCTCTAAGTATTGAAGACATCGTTCCTTTTCCATGTATCATTCCTTTAATGATGTTCCTAATGCTCCTCTGACAACTACAGGTTGCGCCCTGCTCCTTTCTAGTTCTTTCCCACCTTGTGCCAGGTTTCTCTCTCACTTCCCTCCATGCTCGGCCCTCTTACCCCTCTACTCCCTGCCTGGCCCCACCTTCTTCTTCAAAACTCCCTTGGCTTTTTCACGGGAGGGAGGAAATCAGGCGGGCGCCATTAGGGCCCTCTTAGCTTGGGAGGCAAGAACTTTCTAGTTCTTAATTTTGGAAAGGGTGGTTGGCTTAGAAATAGGGGCTTTATTTTTGCCTCTAGAGAGGTTTGGCATCTATTTGATGCCCAAGGCACCTTCCTTTCCAGGTTGCCCAGGGCCAGAGTGTACCCAGGCCTGGGTTGGCTCTTGGAATCACAGAAGTGGAGTGGGCTCTTCTATACAGTGTGTGGTGTAGGTGCAAGTTATGTTAGCTCCTACTTGAACCCAGGGCCAGCTCACTTTTCCAGGGCAGGTCAGGGCTAGGAAGGGATATAAGGTGGAGCTGTTGGGGCACAGACGTAGGAAGGAGGGCACTGAATATTGGGTTTACCGGGGCGCAGGTGGTTGGGGTTCTGGGTACGGAAAGAGAGCGCTCCCTGGGGGCAGGGGAAGAGAGACAGGGCTGTAGGGACTGAGAGAGGAAGGGATGGTGGAGCAGAAAGAATGAGGAGCGCTGGAGCCCCCTGAACGAAAGTCATGGGGCTCACAGAGAATAGAAACGGGGAGGCACATGGCTGGGGTGCTGTGGGTGTGGTGGCCGCCCCACTCCTAACTGTTCCTTACATCCTCTTTTCTCCTTTCCCAGAGGCCAAGTTACAGAAGTTCGACCTGTTCCCCAAGGCGCTGCTTCAAGCAGGCCGCCCGGGAAGCCCGCCGCTACCACCCGGGAAGCCCTTATCACCCGACGGCGCGGACTCGGGTCCCGGGACATCGTCCCCGGAGGTGCGGCCGGGCTCGGGCTCTGAGAACGGCGATGGCGATTCCTTTTCAGGGTCGCCTCTGACCCGGGCCTCCAAGGAGGCAGGTGGCAGCTGCCCGGGCAGCGCTGGCGCCGGAGGCGGCGGTGAGGAGGACAGCCCGGGCTCCGACAGCCCTCTGGGCTCTGAATCCGGTTCGGAAGCCGACAGAGAAGAGGCAGAGGCCGCGCCAGCGCCAGGGCTGGGCGGGGGCCCGGGTCCACGGCAGCGAACGCCGCTGGACATCTTGACGCGCGTCTTCCCGGGCCACCGGCGAGGCGTCCTGGAGCTGGTGCTGCAGGGCTGCGGGGGCGACGTGGTGCAGGCCATCGAGCAGGTGCTGAACCACCACCGTGGGGGCCTCGCGGCCGGCCTCGGCCCCACCGCGCCCTCCGACAAGGCCGCTGTGGGGGCAGTAGCCGCTGTGGACGATGCGTGGCCGGGCCGTGTCGACGCTGCCGCCGCGGCCGGGGGCCCCGGGCTGCCCGCGCCTCTGCAGGCCGGCCCCACTGCACCTCCGCACCACAGACCTTTGCTAGCTGGCGCCATGGCTCCCGGAACGCTGGGCTCACTGAGCAGCCGCTCGGCCTTCTCGCCCCTGCAGCCCAACGCCAGTCACTTCGGTGCTGACGCAGGCGCCTACCCGCTGGGCGCCCCGCTCGGCCTCAGTCCCCTGCGCCTGGCCTACTCGGCGGCGGCGGCGCACAGCCGCGGCCTGGCCTTCATGGCTCCTTACTCCACTGCGGGCCTGGTGCCCACACTCGGCTTCCGCCCGCCCATGGACTACGCCTTCAGCGATCTCATGCGCGATCGCTCCGCCGCCGCTGCTGTGCACAAGGAGCCGTCCTACGGCGGCGGCCTGTACGGGCCTATGGTCAATGGCACCCCTGAGAAGCAGTAGGCAGAGCGGCCCGGCGGCTGGGCGGCCCCCGAACAGGACCCCAGGCTTGTCCCCGCGGGCCGCCGGCCCCTTTTCGTCCGGTGCGCTCTCTGCACCTCGACTGGGGGCCTCTCGCTCCTTGGTGGTTTTCAGTTTGGTTTTGAAGGTTGGCGGGGAGAGCTGAGCACTAGGGAGCAGCTACAGTTGGAGATGTTCTCGGAGGAGGTGCGCGGCCCGGGTCCTCATCCCCCGACCCCTCCCCAGGGCTCCCCAGTCCTTCCTAAAGCAAAAGCTGCCTCGGAAGCGCACGCTCCTGCCTCTCGGTTAAGCAACGCCCATCCCGCCCGCCCGAGAGCTCAAACGGATGGAAGGATAGTCTGAGAGTCTGTCTTCTGTGTCTCCCCCTCCCTTTAAAGAATTTTAAAAATTTGCCCTAACAAATATAAATTTAGGATGTATAAATCTCTTGGCACTGAGTCGAGTCTTTGGGACACACATATATATCGATATAAATTGTAAAAAAAGGAAACAAGTTCTACAGTGCACTTTCCTCGTTGCGGTATTTGTCGCTCTCTTTGTTGCTTAAGCCGATAAGCATGGGTTTCCGTGGTGCAGTGTGAGTTTTTATATATGTATAAATCTATATATAATCTATACATATATATACAAGCCAGTGTATAATGTTATAAAATGGAATTCTAAGTTATTAATTGTAACCTGTAGGTGACCTCGGTATTAACGTGAAAAAAAAAAAACCCAAAAACAAGCGAAAAAAAAAAAAGGAAAAATGGAAAAACTACACTATGCGCGCATTGTACTCATCAGGTTTCATAGACAAAATATATTGTAAACTCGGGACGAATCCTGCCCACCCGCCCCACCTGCCTGGGCCAGTCTCTCCCTAAGGAGCGGTCAAGGTGCGCACAAAAGCTGGAGCCGAGCGACGCATGACTGAGCCAGACCGGCCGCCCGAGGGCCCGCCCCTCCTCCCGGGACTCGCCGGACACTACGGCGGAAGCGCGGACAGCGGGGACCGCTGCTGCAGAATGGCTCACTTTGTGTGTTCCTTTGCATAGACAGGAGCTAGAAATAAATGTTATTTTCTAAGAAAACGACACCGAATCCCGTCCCGCTCCTCGGGCGGCGAGCGGGATTGAAACAAGTCTTGCTTTCCTCCTGCTCGGGCCGCGGTGCCGGGGAGAAGCTTGCCCGAGGGACGGCTGGCGCTGCGACCCTCGAGGGTTGCGGGGCGGGGAAGCTTCCCGTGGCGCCTTGGAAGCCCCCGAGGCTGAGAACTCCGGGAGGCGCGGCGCCCGCTGCGCACGGAGGGACCCGTGTCCCTTCCGCTCGCGGCTCGGGCGCGCGAGCTCTGGCGGGGTCGCCTTGCCAGCGCTCTCCTGTCACCGGATCGCGAGCCGCCTTAGGGGCCCTGCGAGGCCGGCGGCCGGGTTCTGGTTCTCCCCCGGGGGCAGAGTTGAGCGCAGGCCGGGCCGTACCCTGCGCGACTTGCTTCTCACAGAGATTTCGGACCAGGGGCGATGGAGGTGGCAGCTGGGGAGGGAAGGCTGCAAGGGAAGACCATCTCCCACAGAGTTATTCTCGGGTGTTATTGGGAGCTATATTTTAGTAGTGGGGTGCTGCTCCCACCCAAGGCAATATAATCCGCGAGTGGAGGCGAGGACGCGCCCTCCAGCCAGACGTTTACTTCCCCTCCTTCAGCGGAGCTGAGCAAATTAACGGGCTCCTGGGCCGACCCCCTTCCCCTTCGGTCCGTCTGCTCCCGACAGGGTGCCTCCTCCCCTCGGCTGGCCCCGGCGACATCCTAAGGTAAACTTCTGGGGCCGGCTCGAGTTCCGCCAGGCGGTGAAACTTAATAGCAGGACAAGAAAACGGTTTAATAAAGAAGGGCTTTAATAGGGAGCTAATTTGATTGAGTTGCCTAATTCCACTTTAATTGGAAAGGGGTTTGGCTGTTTGGTTATACAGTGCGAGGGTGAGGCATAGATGGAAGTGGGGGGAGCAGGAGCGGCGGGGGGGAGACGGATGGGGCAAGGGAGATGAGGGAGAGAGGAGAAGAAAGGCAGGAAAGGAGGGAGAGAGGAGAAAGGGACGAGGGAAGAGTTTACTTAGAAGGAGAGGGGCCCGCGGGAGAACGCACGGGGAGCGTCTGTAAGTGTGAACTTTCTGTAAGTGTGAACTTCCTTGCCCTGCACCTCTGCGCCGCCCTCCCCGCCTCCTTCGCCCTCCTCCCGCTCCGGGCTCGCGGCATCCGGCCGTCCTCTCAGCCCGCGTTCCGGCCGCCCCACTCCCAGCCTCTGCCCTCCTCCCTCCCACAGTGAACCTCAGACGGCTCTGGGGTTCTGGGTTCCAGCAGGGACCGACACTGGGTGCCCTGGAGCTCCTCGGTGCCTGCTGGTGCTCAGGCCAGACCCGAAGGGGGCGGCCCGTGGGCCCGTGTCACCCACGCTCAAAAAAACGTCGGGAGCTTCGTAGATTTCGTATTTTAGTTCATTCTCACTGGAAGAATCCAGTGAGTTGTTTATTATCGGCTCCATTTCACAGAGGAGGAAAACCGAGGTCCAAAGTGGTTTGGGGACACGCGTCCAACCATTCGGGTACTCTGGATCTCTTCTCCTCCCCACTGCCCCAGTGGGCCGAATCCCCCTCCTCTCACTGAGAGTCTTCTGCTGCGATAGTGGGGACTCTGCGGAAATCCCCCTCCCATGTGCTCATGTGGTCGAGGCCGGAGGAGCTTGTCCCTGGAGCCCAGAGAGGCTGTGATCTCGGGCCCTGACTGTGAGAGCCTTGGGCAGAGATCAGAAGGACTAGAGTGGTGGGAATTCGAGGGTGTAGGGTAGTGGGGTTCCCGGGTTCCTTCCTCCTCACCCGGCGTGTCTCCGTGGCCCGAACCCCGCAAGGGAAAGCAGGGGGGTCAGTCACAGCCCTGACGCCTGCCAAAGTCCTGCGCCCCTGCGCGCCCCTGCGCGCCCCTGCCCCTCCTGTCCCCACCCCCGACCCTCCTGCCCACTGCCGCAGTCAGGAAGGCCGAGGCGCCGAGGACCGCGGCCGCAGGCCCACGGCTGCACATCCGGGCTCTGAGAAGCCAGAATCAGAACCCAGGAAGCTCAAGCCAGGTGGCTGGGTGGCAGAGTGGAGTGTGGGGGCAGAGGTTGGGGGGTGCTGCAGAGGAGCAGGCGTCTCTGGTTCTGGGAGCTACCGCGGTGGGTGGGAGGGGCTAGGGCCCGAGCTCCTTTCCCAGCCTGGGCTGCAGCAGCAGCTGCGGCCGGTGCTGGCATCCCTGTCAGTGACAGAGGCCGGGACACCGCTCCTGTTCTGCGGGGAGGAGAAGGTGGGATGGGACCTCTACTGTCCATGTGTTTTCCCAAACTCCCTCCTGTCTGCTGGGCCCAGCCTGGCCTGGGCACTGGGGGTACCCGGGCCTGAATCATGTGGGGGGCTCCAGCTGTTGGGGAGAGAGACTCACCAGGTGGTATTTGTGTTTAAATCATTTTTCTCTTCCTCCTCCTCCTCTTTCTTCATGACAACAGCAGCAGCTGCACACTCCTGAGCGCCTGCGGGGGGCCAGGTTCTGTACTAAACAGACGCTGCACAGGATCCTGCTCAGGGGATCCAGGTTATACCACTGGCTGGGTGTATTCATTCATGGATTACCTCACTCAGCAAATATTTACTAAGTACTTACTGTGTGCCAAACCCTGTTCTAGGAGCTTGGGATACCCAAGTGTGAAAAGCAGACATCGTTTCGGCCCTCTCCAAATTCACAGGGTGGTGGGGCTACAGAGGCCACTGGACAGGCAAGGGGGTGCACTGACTGTGCCCCAAGGGTCGTGGAGTCTGCCCGTGGAAAGGCGAGCGAGGCAGGGCACTCCGCCTCAGTGTCCTCCTCAGTTCAAGGGGCTCACAGGGGTGTCTGCTTCTCTGGGTGCTGTGAGGATTGAATCAGATAATGTGTAAAAAGCTCTTAGCTCACTGCCTACTTACTAGGTGTTTATTCTCAGATCCTTTGGTGTGGCTATTGTCCCGATTTCAGAGAGGAGTATAAACACCTCAGAGGCATTGAATGGCTGAAGCAAGTTCTGCTTATAAGTCCTCTAAAATGTCACAGGTTATAGGAGATGCCCTGCCCAGAGCAAGGGACCACAGAGAAGGGTCATCAGATGGGAGAGTGGAGGTTCTGGATGTGCTTCTGAGAGAAGGTGAGGCTGCCCCCAGTCCTGGGGGCATTGGTGAGGGGCAGCATTGTGACCCAGGGCAGGAAGTTGGTGGGGGAGTAAAGGGTCTTTGTGGAGGAAGGGGTGGAGAGGGGCAGGTTGTGATGTTGGACAGGAGTCGAGGTCAGGTCATGGAGAACCTGGAGCACCCAGGGGAGGGGCCTGGGTTTCAGGGTGAGGGAGCCTCTGACAGCATTGCCTGGTGACATGTGCCTTTCGATTGGGTAGATTGTTACAGGGACAGACGGCCGAAACCGTCTGAGGAGGAGCCATGAGAAATGATAGCACCAAAAGATGACCAGTGGCGAGAAGAGGCTGGCTTCAAGAGCTGCGGGGAGCCAGACTCTCCACAATTGGTGCAGTGTTGGGGGTAAGCCAGGAGGAGGACTCAGCGCTGAATCTTCGGTGCCTGGGCTGGGTGACTCGTCGCTGGCGACACGCAGAGTTGTGGGCCACTGCAGCAGGCACAAGGCTGGAGGGGGAGGGAAAAAGTTCGGTGTTCAACACCTAGAGTTTGAGGGGCTTACTGGGCCTCTGGTGTGGGCACCGAGTGATAGAAAGAGTCAGCAGGTGGGTGGCTGCAGGGCCGTGGGAGGAATGGGCAGCCCAGCACTTCCTCTCCCAGCCCGCAGAACACGAGACTCCCTTAGTGGAGGCTGCAGGGTGTGTGCGCTCGCACGTGTGCCTGTGTGTTTGGGCACCAGACGTTGGAATTCTGTCTTGTACCATTTCTATTCATGCCGAACAGAAATGCCGAATACCATTTCTATTCAGGCTAGTCTCTTACAA